GAAAAATATTTTCCACAATGGTCCTGAAGAAAGGAGTGTGTGAGTACTGAGCCTGACAACAGAGTCAGGAGAAGCATGTTTTAAGTCTCCTGGAAATGAGTAACAGATTTAGATTCACGTGTTGAAACTGGGGGGGAGAGGGGGGAGGGAGAAGTTCACTATCTGTGGAGATGAAGCTGTTATTCCCAATTCACCAGCTGGTAATATCACAGAAGCAAATATCTTCTCAGTACGTAATTTGGATGATATGTGTATTGTTGTTGTTCCCACTACAGATAGGGCTTGGATAATGGATAACTTCAAAGAAAAAGATTTATTACAAAAGAAAGTATTTTTCAAGGTCTCTGCAAAACTTCTCACAATAAGAGGGGAAAGGAACTTGTCTTGCTAATGCAAGACAGTGATTTGCAGTATCTTAAAATTTGGCACTTGAAACCCTAAAGCCACGGTCACTGGTCTTTGCTAAGGATAATCTCCCTAAAGAGATTAAATACATGCTACTTCATTGCTGCCACTTCTTTGACAGCACAGAAAGCCATAAGGACAAATAATAAATAAATAAATAAATAACAGTCTCCGCAGCTACAAGAAAAGCCATGATCTGGAGACAGGGATAGGTTTTACTACTGTTTATCTACCTAAATACAAGCATCAGTAGGGTTTGAAAACCTACTGAGATGCACAAATGAGTTCAGAAATCTTCCCTTCGTGTCCATTTATCCCTAGTAAAGCTGGAAATAATTCCTTCTTCACAGAGATGCTGTAAAATCTTCCTGATCTCAGCAAAGCTTTTTAAAATCCTTGTGGGGAAAATGCTATTAAAATGGATAGCTTATTGTTGTAGCTAATACACACATGATACCCCTGTATGTGTTTGTGTTCAGCAGTGTATAGCACCAATACCTATGCTGTGCTGCCAACCTGCAAAGTATCCACAAAAATCTTTAGAGGCTTCTAATTAGTCAGAGCTGGAACACAGGTGTATTTGATGGCTTACTCACTGCTCTCAGTAGCACCAGGGAGAGTAAGGCATTTAGTCTCTTGTAGTAGGGAGTAAGGCAGGAGTTTTGCCCATGAAATCCAATAATGAAATCACTGAGTGCTGTTTTTTGTTTCTGCTCCCCCCTTCAAAAAGAATGCAAATATCAAACTCTTTTCTCTGCATCCCCTTCATTCTGTTCAAAGCCCGAAGAAAATCATGTAACTACAGAGGAGATGGCAGGAAATGTTTAGGTAGGAATTGCAGATATGGGTTGATAAATCAGAAAAGACTCTCCAAGGTTATATAAAAAAAGCAGATACCTCCACTTTTGTGTTTGTATTTCATGGTTTTCAGAAACTGCCAATTTCCCAATTTGGAAGTGGCAAATAACATAATAGCTGTTGCCAGTGTAGTGCTTAGCACCCATTAGCTGTAATCATCACAGGATTCACTATGGTTGCTTATTGCTTCAGAACCACCACATGAGCATAATTGAGTTCCTACTCCTAAAATGCAGGGAGCTACCTCCTGAATTTATGATTACAAAGTTGGAGCAAGGACTGTATTTTTATCCTGGGTTAATAGAGAACACACCACATTATGGGCTTTTACTCCTTTGTTTTTTTAAAGAAGAAAGAAAGAAAAGAAGATAATGCAGTAGAGAAGGTCATCAGTTGGTTTTCTGTTGCCAGCGGAGACCTGACACACACACACTTGACCCCCTACCACTTCAGCAGAGATGAAAGCAGTGATACAGAGAAGCCAGTGTATTGCTGCTCTTTCCAAATATATTCTATATATGCACCTACAAAAACATACACAAACTACAAAATAAGTAGTAGAGCTTGCTACTCTGATACTGATCAGCATGAAGCTATGAAAATGAGGTGCCTCTATTACATGGTTTCCTTAATTATTTAGCATGTGTGTGTCTACAGTAATTATGAACAGCTGATAAACTGCCTTTTTACAATGGTATGTAAATGTGCTGATATTGCTATAAATAATCACTCCATACACTGCAAGACACACTGCTACCTTGTTTCCCCACTTAATTTAGTCTCAAAAATTTCCCTCTACTGTGCAACCTTTATCAGGCAGCTCTTTCAATGCATTATGTTCTTTATTGCTAGATGACATATTATTGATGCTTTGTTTTGGCATTCCTTTCCTAGGAAAAGATGTCTTGTTTGGGACAATTTCAAAAGCTATCCATTACAAGTGAAAAACGCATCTGAGATGCCAGTGCTGGAATTTCTTTCACCTCTTTCCAGGGAAGGTAGAAAACTATTCTGCAGGGCTGACAGGACAGTGAGCCAGACCCTCATCAACATAAATCAGAGCAGCTTTACTGAAGACAAGGGAGTTATTTTTCATGTGAAGAGCTGGCCAAGTGTTCTCTCTGCAGCAGTGGCATCAAACACTGACCTCAGGCTGGAGGAGACATCTCACGCATACAGGAATCCCCACTGCAATTGCCACTGTATCTCTTTTTTTTAATTATTATTTTGAATGGCTTGAGTTTTATTATTTTCCATTAAACCTATTTCCTATTCTCAGATCAATATAAATGCTCCATACCATACAGCATCCTAACACTAGCAGATCAGGCCTCCTTACTATTCTCCCCTGCATTTGGAGACTTCTGCATTACTTCTCAAGTAGCTAAGCAAAAGGACCTCCACCCAGCTGACTGACAAGTTCCTGCCACCAACGGTGTTTATGGCAATGCCCACCCATAGACTGTTACTCTGTATGACACCAAACAGCAGTAGCCTGGGAGTATATATATATAGGTGCATTCTTCAGATGACTGAGAAAATCTATTCCTTTTTAATTATTATTTTATTTCTCATTCAGTTTTTTCTTACATTTCCTGTTAACTCTACATTTCTAAGGAAGTTGTTTCATATTTGCCCTTGAACATCTTTTTTGGGAAGCAAGTGATTCGCATTAATGCTTCTTGGAGGATTAGGAAAAGCACATTTAACTGGTATGTTCAGCTAGTACAGATAGAAGTCTTTTTGCTTCTTACAGATACTTACATATGCTGAATTCACAGATGAGCCATACTGAGGTCTTGGCTCTAAAGACCACTGAGAAAAATGTCAGATATGGGGCCTCATTCTGTTTTTATGCTACCTGGGCTAAAAGTTGGGATTCACTGCTAATTAAAAGAAGCAGGCCAGGTAACACAGACCTCCAGTCAAACACTGGTTTTTGAGTGGCTTAAACCATTACCACCTGTCATTTTTGTGTTGCCCTCCTGTTCCTCTAACTGGAAGGACAAAGTATGGGACAACGGGCTCTTGCCAACAAGAAATTCCAATGCTGAGAGGGAAGTTTTGCTTTCAGGTTGAACAGGTTGATGCACTCTCAGCATCAGAAAACCCTTGTGCCAAGACTCTGACACCCTTCTACCCCAGAATCACTCACTCTACTGTGTTTTTCCACTTTCCTTCCCAGGCTGCAGTAAGTTTCTTTAGAAATTGCTTTTACACACCCATTGTACTCTTCAATACCTTTGTAGTGTTTATTCACTGGTACAAAAATTCTCTTCCCAAAAATTCTGCTCAGTGCGCTTCAGGGCAAGCGGGTTGATCTTGTCAGAGAACCCCTGAAATAAGAGTTCATTGCCAGTGCCACATGCAAAAGTTCTCACTCTGCTGGACTGCTGAAGCTCTTTTCTTGTTAAAAAACTGTGATGTGCTACCTCATATCATTGTACTTTAAAGAACAGAAATCAAATATGAAAACCAGAAGAGAGAAATACTGCTCACAGTTGCCCAACAAAATTATATAAAGGCACTTCCAAGCCTGCAACTTCAATGGACTCATCACTAATCAACTCTATGGCTTAAAATGACCTCATAACAAGATTTTTCAAATATTCTGTGATTTATCTTTCAACTAAAGCCAGTTTCTTTTCTGGATTACACAGCTATAGTCATAACAAAGCACCATCCCCACCACCACCCATCCATCAAACCAACAACAAACCGAAGGAACACACAGGTCCATTTTCCAGGGTGATAGCATCCCAGATATCATCTCCTGACACACAACCCTACCCAAGCAATTTCCTGCTCCTTTTTTTTCCTGACATTTTCTAATAGAAAGGCATAAGCAGAACTCGTATTCTTGGAAATATTTCCAAAATATTTCCAAAGTAGTCTGTGGGCAGTAATTATTAGCAAGAGTTTTTAGTTACTGATAAACTCATAACTGAGTTAGAGAGGCCTGAGAATAAAGGTACTGAGATTATACGTAACATGCAAACCTGACCCACCCATTGGAGTGCAAGTGTTTGTGGTACAGATTGCTGCTGCACATGGTTTCTTGGTCTTCAGACATGATTAATACCAATAAAAGACTCAAATTAATTAAAGGCTTCCTACCCTACATGAAAAGAGTGAGTTGGCAGAACAAGGTGTGTTCCTGTTTTTCATAATTGCTGTCGGGGTTCCTAACAAACACAGTTTCAGTCCTGTTAATGTAGGAAGTGGAGAGGTGCCACGTTTGTGCTACTACTTCAAAACATTTTCTTTATGACCTTCCATCAGGAGTAAAGCACAAAAAGGGGAAGTTAATGATCAATTCCCAGAAAATACGAACAATCAGTCTTAGCTCACTGCTGATGAAAGACGTGCTCTACAGTACATTCACTGTATTCTGTCAAGCAATATTTGCTTTTACAAACACAAATTTGCTTTTACAAATGAATACTGAATGCTCGTACATGTTCAACACTTAATATCATTAGGGAAACAGCACAAGGAAAGAAATTCCCTGGTCTTTGACTGGTTCTCATTCCCATGACAGGTCCTTCGCTCTGACTGAACACTGAGGTTTCTGCAGCACAGAAAGACTTTGTTGTGAACAGTATCCAGACTATTCTGCAGTATTTCACCACTGTATATTCAGTCAGACCACATTTCCGAATGAGACAACAGAAGCATCTGTTAAAATACACTAAACAGCCTATTTCATTAACTTCCCCTTTTGATTTTATTCACAGACACTGCAAATGGGCATCAAGCATTTTTCTGGGCTCTTTGTGATGTTGTGCATTGGGTTTGGCTTGTCCATTCTCACTACCATTGGGGAACACATTGTGTACAGACTGGTCCTACCACGAATCAAGAAGAAATCCAAGATGAAGTACTGGCTCCACACAAGTCAGGTATGTATTCAGAAGTAACCCTGTGAAAGTCATGTGGCTGATTAAGAAAGCCTAGACAAGAACAAGGTGTAGAAGATTGCAAGAGCTCTGATGATTGGCATTTGAAGTGTGACAGCAGCTTCTGGAGTTCAAAGAGGCTTACTTAATGATGAAATGAGAAGCACAGAGGAAACAGTTCGAGTATTCACATTGCAAAGCCTACGGAAGGGACCTTTCCATTTGCACTTGAAACCTTACAACTCTTTCGGACACCAGAAGCAACAGTGTTGTTACCCTGAACTGGCTAACCAGAACATTTTGTCTCACTGTTAACAGGTTCCCAAAATTTTGATGCATGCAGGAAGTGCTGGGTAACTTCCTTCATTATTCTAGAGAAAATAATGGAAGAAAATTGCTGTAGGTGTTTGGTCTAAAGGAAGAGGCTACTTTGCAGCAAAAGGCGCAAAAAGGAAGAGCTATTGCTTTAAAGCAGCATGGTGAAAGAGATCTTTTAGAAAATAATGAAGTTTGCAAAGATCCACTTTTTTCCTGAGGAATTCTAACACCAAGGATTGTTTGCAACCTATTTCTCAATCTTTCAGATTGCCCTTCCTTGGGAAACTATGGGAAAATAAATCTGTTGTAATGACAAAGCACAGACATTGCTTCTATCCTTGAACATACAAAATAATTTATGTTCAAGTCCATCACACAAAGCCCAAATTGTTTACCTATTTATGGAGCTATTCTTAATCTTCCTTTTATTAATTTATTTTCTTCTTTTCCCTCTAGAGATTACATCGTGCTCTAAACAGTTCATTTATTGAGGACAAATGCCAGCCTAAGACAAAACGAGTAGAAAAGAGGTAGGAAGTTTTGCATGCCTTAAAACACAAACTACAAAAATTACTTTGAAATGAAGTATGTTGTGTCTGGATATCTACTTATGGATCTAATACACCCCAAAGATAATAGAACCAAAAAAGGAAACAAGATAGAAGTGACAAGGGAGGGAGGCAGAAATGAATGAATTGTTTCCAATAGAAAGTATTCCATCTAGAAATTTTGTTCTTTCATGATTTCGCATACAGATAATAAAAGCACCCCCATCCTAAAGACAGGCTTTGCAGTTTTTTAAGTCCCCTGCCCTTGTTTTTAGGTAATTAATTACTCATATACTAAAGCACTGGCAGATAACTAGGGCCCTGTGAGATAACTTCACAGTGAATGAGAGATCAGGTAGTGTGTATGTGAGAAACTTTTTCAGCTTTCTTATTTTTTAGAAGGAGAAATAAGAAAGCTGAGAAGAGGAAAATTCACTCCTTTCAGAAACCTTTGTCTCAAACAACTCTTGCTGGAGAAAAAAAGTAGGTAACAACCTTGCCTTGTTTTCACAGCCTATGTCTTCTGAAGAGGAGACAATTTTATCTATAGCTACCAGGAACACAAGGCGTTCTATAAAAACTATCCATTTGCTCAGTAAGTCAAAACTATTAGTACACTTTTTAAAGAAACAGGCAGCGTTATTGCTTTTCTATAGATAAGTTCAGCCACAGACTATAGAAATTATATGTCTGCCTGGCTGTTTGGCATGGCTGAAACCCATGTATATAAATGTAGGTTGTGTTTAGTTTGTCATCCCTGCACTAATGGCAGCAAACATAAGAAGTTAACATCTGTAAGCTTCTAGACTGCATATATACAAACAAGTATATAAAAGCGTATGCAATTATTTTCCTCTGTTCATTCTTTCATCTTACTGCCCCACAAAACCCCATAGTGTGGCACCTCCTTGCACACAGCAATTGGTTGCTTTTGATCTTTGAAGGGCAGTACCAGGAGCTGACTGGTGTAAAACATTTCCTCCTGCTCCTAGACTCTCCTCACTGGGTGGTATCATTCACAGTCCCACAACCTGAGGCACTAACTCAGCTGGAGGGAGAGTCTTCCAGAGGAGGGGGGAGGGGTCTGTATTTTTGATAATAAAAAAGCACCAGCTGAATTATTTACCAGATATTGAGCAGTGCAAAAATTTTGTAACACAAGGAGATGGCCATAAGACCCATAAAGAATGGCTTAGAAAAAGAACGACACAAATACTCTTTCAACATTGAGAGTAAAAAAGTGCTGCTACCCAAAAACTTCTGCCCACAGAGCATCCAGCCCATGTGTGTGTGTGCATGCACACCCACCCACCATCCTTGCTCTTCTCATGGTCTGAGCTGCTCTTTGCACAGAATTATGGGGAATTTAACTCAAGACACCTAGTCACGTGGTGCCTAGTTTGTCATGAACACTGATGTGGCAAGGTATGACCCAGGACTCTCAAATCAATTATATTATTACACTTTCTTTCCTGCTGGGGACTGTGGAATTATTAAAAGCACCAAGATACAGAAAAGAGGTGGAAAGAATTTGTATTATGCTGCTGCTGTTTCCCTCAGGGAAGAAAATCCACTGTTTTTTTCTGGCTGTAACTTTGCAAAAACAAGGAGAGCTGCTCAGCATCAGTGGCCAAGAACATTTACTTGACGAAACTTGAGTGTTAACTGTGGACTCTGGCCTTTGTTAAAGCCACCTGCCCAGATCCCCAGACAAAAGCACCACCGCCAGCAGCAGCAGAAGCTCTGTCAGTTACTAACTCTTACCAAAAGCAGTGTTTTGATTTATGAGAGGAAAGAAAAATGTATCAGAAATTATGAATTAACGATATGACTTTGAGAAATATTTACAAAACAAAGGGCTGCAGCTTCTCTGAGATGCATACTTCTGCTCCAAGGTGTTGGTAACACTGGCTGCCCAGGACCCTGAGCTCTGCAGAGCTACACAGCAGGGAGACAGCTTCGGGCACCACAGCCCCTTGCCAGTAGTTCTGCTCTTTGCTAGGTGACCTTTTTTCATCTCTTCAGGGGATTAACATAACTGCATCATAAAACACACATGCAGTTTAGCACAAGACTTGAGAGTCTTCCTGTCTTTTATCTTGAAGTATGAGAAAATCAGTTATCTACAGTAAAATAAACAACCCTACATATATGTCCCCGCTGGAGTTCCCCGAGCCCTCCAGAGCGTGACCCTGGCTGGGACTGCCACTCCTGCCTAAAGGCTCCCCTTCTCCCTCTCTGCTACCCCACTTTTTTCAAAACACTCCTGATTGCCACCTCCTCTAAAGAAATTTCCGCTTTCCAACTTCCTTCTCTGCCTGCAGGTGAGAAAAGTATCTACTCCTAGCTCCAGACTTCTCTAAACCAACTGTTTTCAGCAATCCCAATCCCAAAATGTTAATCCTTCTCCCTAACCTGCTGATTGGTACTTCGCACACTAATAGGCATTTTGTCCAAGGATACCCACAGAAGTGCTCTATGATGGAGCAGTTTTAAGAGCAACTACTTTAGAGTTTCAACCTGTTTATAAAGCGAACACACACAAATCTATCCAAAAGGTAAAGCAGGTACAAAAGCCAAGCTCCTCTCCCCCAACAGAAACTCTGTGCTTCCTTATGTTTCAGCTGCAGACCAGAAGCCACAGGGTGCTCTTCAATTCAGGAAGAAACCCTAGGAAATGCCCTGATTTGGGAGGGCTGCAAAATGAAGTTCCCAAGAAAGAGGGAAAAAATTCTCTGGAATCAAAATATTTTGGAAAGACTTTTCCACAGGAAAACACTGAAGCATTTGAAAAAGCTCCCAAATGGGAATTTCTCCCTCAACATGAAAACTCCAAATTCTGTTTATTTTGTGAGGAACTCACATCTGCACACTGCAAGGTTTGGATACGGTTCATCGTGTCCATCCGCCAAAGTGCAAGCAGTTAGTCCACAAGACTTCAAGTCCAAAGGACGCACTTTCCCCTTCATCTCTCCACACCAACTCTAGGCAGCCATCTTCCTCCTCCATAGGGGCAAATGCCCAAGCTAGCACAGACTACTAATACACAAAGGACTAATGCTGTAATGGACTTAGGACATTACAACAACAAAAGCTTTCATAAAGCTTCAGAAGAGGACTTGCATTTTCCTGAGCTGGAGTTAAGAGGGCTGTAATTTCATAACTAACAGAAAAAAGTTTTGGGGAAGATCAATTTTAGGATTCTGTTCTAGTCTCTGCTACGGTTTAATCACAAAAATTTGGCCATTTACATTCATGATTTGTAATTGTCAAGAACAATAATTCCAAGGATAAAGGAATAATATTTCTATGTAATTCATAACAGCAGCATCATATTTTTCCAGTAGGATGGCTCACAGGGGAGGATTGCATACACACAAGAGCATGCTCTGATTTCATATTAACTCTCGCATCTCTTTCAGGTCCCATGTAGGGAACAGCCAGCATGTTGTGTGGAATACAGCCAATCTGGGCAACTGCCACCAGAAAAAATATATCTGCATCGATGAAGGGCAAAATGAGGTGATGATCCGACAGCACCAAGACATCCCCCTGCCTCAGGTGAGGAGAGACACTCTGGTTTCTTTAACGACCAATGGGAAAGCAGAGTCCCTCAATATTGCTAGGATCTCAGTGATGCAAGAGCTTACGGAGCTGGAGAAGCAGATTGAAATCATCAAGCAGGAGTTGCAACTCGCCATGGACAGGAAATCAGAGCTGGAAGAGTATCAGAGGACAAACAGGACTGCAGAGCCTTAGGCCAGCATACCTGGGCCCTTTCCGCTTTTCTTCCTTTCTCCCCTTCCTCTGTAAAATTTGTAACACACTTTTGTAATGCCAGAAAGAGGTGCAAAAATAAAGCAGGCAATATGCTCTTCATGAGAGCAGAATTGCAGCAGCCCACAGCCACTGCCACTCTCCTGAGTCCTCCTCCTTTCATAACAAGTTTCTCATTCTCCTGGAAAACATCAGCCATTCCTGAGGGACTGGAGAAACAAGAAGCATCCGAGCAGCAAGAGTTCCTGGTTCCTCCACTTGACAGTACAGTGAGGTTCCCACTTTTTTAGCCCTTTCTGTGCATTAATTCAAAAAAAGAAAAAAAAAAAGGAGGAAATTTAAACTGCTTATTGGAAGCATGTCCCTTGTTGGTATGTTTTTGTTGTGATATCTATGGGTATAGTCTCCGTTCATGCTAAGGCTCCTTACGGTGGCCTCATTACACCAGGTGCTAGTTCTGTGTGGGCAATCCCTTCCCTCCTGGCACAAGCTGCAGTTTCACGAGACAGATTCTTGGTGGAAATCTGAGTATACACCATTCCCCCAGCTCTGTCAGCACAAATGCAGACGTGGCTGCTCTGTGGCTGTGGTAAAGGAACTCACCCAGCTTAAAAATAACTTGGCAAAATCCAAACCACCATCTCTCTCTGCCTTTGAGCCCAGGTTCAGCTTCCATTCCCACCCAGAGAGAAGCCATGCAAACAGCTGCACTGGCAGATGTGAAGGGGTGGGTTCACAGCAGCATAGAGCAAGGATGAGGGGAAGGGAGGGATGGCAGTACTGTAAATCAGTATTTACCGCTAAAGGTGAAGTATTTACCAGTGTGAAACTACTCTCTTAGTATTCTCTGTCTTCAGTTGACAGTAAGGTTCTTTCTCACAGCCTAAGTGACAAAAGGGGCTCTGGTCCATGAGTTATTCTGACACCAGCCTCCCACCAAAGTCAAAGGGAGTCACCAAAGCCTCCTTGTGGACCAGGGCTCACTGTGAAGGAGAATGAGAGTTGGGGTTTCAAAGGCAATGTACTGAGTGGAGCTCCCTTCAACCCGGGTGATGAGTAGAGGGGAAGGAAGGGTAAGCTGTTCAGCATCTGAATAAACACTGCATCAACCCAACTGACTGTGTTATTTAAACAGGATTGCTATGAAGTTTTAAACATCACTTCCCAACACATCCCATATTACAGAGAAAAAGAATGTTTGTAACACTGTCAGAATTAACTCTGATCTCCCACATACATCACCAAAGTAATTTTTACCCTCCCTGTATCTCCAGCCACCTGGGTGAACGTTACCAGGGGTGTTCTCACCAGACATTAAGGCTACAAGCAGACATGAAACTGTATTTTAGGATTTGAAAAAGGCATTCTACCTTTTTACACGTTTAACCTTTGAAAAACACTTGCAAATTAAAAGCTCTGTGTGGACCACTGAAAGCTGATAGCAGCGATACCCAGACTAATTAGCCTCATCAAGTGGAGTTCATATTCTATTCCCTGCTCAGTCCTTGGCCTCTCCTTTTGGGCAGCAAATGTGTGTGACTTCA